GTCTACCACATGCAAAATACCGAAATTTACAAATGATTGACAATCATTCATAGACCAGCATAAGTACATGTACCCGAATTTTAGAATAATAATGAACGCATTTCAGAGAAATAATAAAACTAATACTACCTCCCCCCTAATCATATTACTTGGTTTAGGAATACCAAGTTATATAAGAAAAGCGTCAAATTTAGAAAAACGGGAAAAATTACTCTGTGACTGATAAATTTAAATAGAATTGGAATAGAATAGAATTGTAAACATGCCACTTTTTATATATTAAGAGAACGATGAAATGGATCCGAAAAAGTAAAGGGAGACCGGAATGCCCATTTGTGGCTTGTTGGCCATCATCAGCCAGTCATACAATCTCAAGGGTTGGATCCCACAAGATTTAAACCAGGGACCTTTGGTCATTGAATTCAATACTCTACCACGGTACCACGGGGTCGGATCCATTTCATCATTCTATCCTCCTAGTCACTATGTGACTGCCTGGCGGGTCCAGGTTGTGAGCTCCTGAGCAAAGCGGAACTTAATTGTTCCTCTACTAGATCGGCGAAGCACACATATTCATTAAGAGAACGTTCCTTTCGTCAAATTTCTTTTGGAACGTTCTCTTAGTTCACAAAAAATTGCATGTTTACGATTCTATCACAAGCATTGGGTCATATTTGAAGCCCCACCCAAACAGGAAAACACGTTGACGATAAAAATGAACGTCCACAACAAACTCGGCAATTAATATAGCTAAGATAAATTTTTATTTGCCTGTGAATTAATTTACAGTGATATCGGCCTTACACCTGGACCCGGTGGCAAAACAGTGTCAGAACCACCGGAGGCGGTATTAGGCACACTGACTGACAAAACTAAACCGCCTGTCTAAACATGTAACACACGTCTGGTTGGTGCACAATGCACCGGGTTTTCACACAAACACGAAAGGCTCGGCTCGGTTCGGCTCCCATCAAAGTGGGCTGCCACAGAGGTTACATTAAGAAGGAACCATTGTAGCCTGAATCTCCGTCCCGAGTGAAGGACCGAGTTATCCCGTCAGTTGGCGGCCTCACAGCATTTTTTTGAGAGAGAGCGAATGCTTTATTTTGAAGGTAATATCCAAAATTTTCAACAAAAATGGCTCCATTCACGGAGAGCAAGGGATAAGGCAAGGTAAGGGGTCATGGTAAAAGGTCACAAAATACTCAAAGTCAAAGGTTTGCACGATATCCACACCTGTTATGGAGACAGGTCGGCTT